AACTTTAGCATGAGACTTATAATGTGTCCATTTATTTTTCTACTGATAAATATAGAAACAATTGCATTACGATAATGTATAATAATTACATTTAATTTATGACATGCTGATATTATTGCTATAAAGACTATTATTATTTTTATTTTTTCTGTTTTTTTGGTTTTATGTATTAATGTAAAGAATAATAATTACTATGATTAATAAACGTACGACAGCATTTTATTTTCCATTCTAACCAATTTTACAATGTCAGCCGACAGCATCACATCAAGTTTGAATTTTTAAATTGGACAATCGGTATATTTTTACCTTTTTTGAAAGCCTATTACATTACTATCTCAATTATACCATATGTGGTGGACTAACGGACATTATAAAAGGCTAAGCTGCATTATTATTTTTTTAATAACAGATAGTTTACTTTTGTGCTGTGTTTTGGTGTAGGTTCCCGATATTTTTTCTAAATGACAGTAATATTGAGTCCAAGATTGCTTCTTTATTATGTATTGATGTTCCTAAAGCAACACGATTATTAAAAAGAAAAATTCACGTTCACTATCAATTTTTGCTAAAAATATGAAAATTACCATCACATCACGACATCTTTGCTTTATTTCTTTACGTGCTCGTCGTTTTTTATTTAAAACAAATCGAAGATATTTAAAACCTGTTTATTATCCGTCATAAAGTTCTAAGCATTTATTTATTATTTCACTATGTAAAGTTGTTATGTAATTTAAAGCAAAGTTTATATTATTAATTACACTCGTTAGGTGAAGTAATCATTTTAATTTGAACATTTCAAATAAGTGTCTGGCAATTCATCAATAAAAATCATACATTCTACGAGCTAACAAGTCTTACTGGTTACCCGACAATTGCGCTCCGGTCAAATGCGCCCCGACAAAAGCGCCTCGACAAATGCGCCCCAACAAAAATACTTTTTTATTTTTAATTCAATTATTTTTTTAAATTGATTACTGGACTTTTTTTTTGTTTTCAACTATTTGTTTTGCCCTGTGGATGTTTAGAAATGGATTGTATTATTTCGTAGGGGAATGTTGATTAAAGTTCTAGACCTCAAAGACAAACAGTATTAAGTCCACTTTTTTCATTTTCAAGTTTTTAGTTACTCCTACATAATTTTTCCTGCTCCTTCCATTGGTGCTAAGTATTAAGTCCTTTATTTTTAGTTTTCCAGATATATTTTTAAAACCACTCACTATTAAGTCCAATTAAAAATGCAGGCAGTCAAAAGTTTCAACAAGCTCTCCTGTAAAATTTTGAAAAATGGACTTAATACTCTTTGGCTCTAAGGTCCAGAGTTTATTTCCCAAATGTTTATATTAAATTTACCTTCGCTGCATTTTATTTATTTTTCATCTGCCTTTCACCCTCCAACGTACTTCTTAACTTTTATTAATATCTTTTTATGTATCTTAAAAAATAAAGATAGTATATTTTTGTGTATTTTTATCTTTTGGGGTGTATTCAAAATCGTACAGATGCCATCACCACATCTTGACCAAATTTATAGGGGACCACCCCTGAGATGCCCCTTTACTAACAAAAAAAGAATCATAGAAATCGGACAAGGTGGCAAAGAATTACCGCTAAACATACATAAAAATCTGATGTGTCCAACACATGACTTTCCTATCTAGTTATTATAGGCTTTTTCCGGTTATTTTGTACAATCTATTGCAGCACCTCTATAAATATTTAGAGGATAAACTAAATATATACATTTTCCCATACATCTATCTCGAAACATTTTTATATAGATATTCATTGAAAACGAAAATACTGAAAAATTAAATTTAGCACTCTTCCTCCAATTTTTCCATTACGGTCCATTTTAGAAAAATCATATATAAACAAAAAAATATAGAGATCGATATCGCAAACAACTTTTAGTTCAAGAATTTTCATAAAAATCAGAATTTTGCACATTTTGTCAAATTTCTCGAATACGGACCATTTCAGGAAATTTTGACATAAAGCAAAAATTATAGATAATAATATTAGAAGTAACTTTTATTTGAACAATTTTCTTCTCCAAACAAATAAGAGACAAAGGGGTCTATTCTGTAAAAATTCCTTTATATTTAACGACCTTTAAAAATATTTTCTTCTTTAATTCGGTCACTATTTAAACGGATCTTTAAAGTACATTAGAGGACTATCTTAAAGAAATCTGTTTAAATAATGATAGAAGTAAATTAACGAATACGAACATATTTTTAAAGGCCTTTAAATATAAAGGAATTGTTACAGAATAGACCCCATTGGGGTATTCGTTAATTTACTTCTATCATTATTTAAACAGATTTCTTTAAGATAGTCCTCTAATGTATTTTAAAGATCCGTTTAAATAATGACAGAAGTAAAGAAGAAAATATTTTTAAACGCCGTTAAATATAAAGGAATTGTTACAGAATAGACCCCATATTCCATAAAATATAAAAACGGCCTCCCATAAAGTACCACCCCAGATGTTCCGACTTTGTCCAAAATTTAATCATTTCACGTCAGGCCGAAATAAAACTTAAGTTTAAAATTTAATGATTTTTTCTTTATCCGTTTTTGAGTTTTCTTCAAAATTCGAAATTTACACATTTTCTCAAATATCTCGAATACGGTCCATTTTAGAGAAATTATGTATAGAATAAAAATTATAGAAAATTATATTACAAACAATTTTTATAAAAAAATATTTTTTTTTATTTTGTCAAATTTCTCGAAAACGGACCATTTTAGGAAAATTTTGTATAGAACAAAAATTATAGATAATAATATTAGAAGTAACTTTTATTTGAAGAATTTTCTTCTCCAAACGTAAATAACAGATATATTCCATAAAATATAAAAATGACCACCTATAAAGTACCCCCCCAGATGTTCCGACTCTGCCCAAAAACTAATCAGTTCATTTGACGATGGAATAAAGCTTAAATTTAAAATTTGGTGTTTTTCTGTGTATCGGTTCATGAGTTATGGTGGATACAGACACACACACATACAGACATCATCGCGAAAATAGTCAAAACGGATTCAGGGGACCTCAAAACGTAAAAATTCGTCGAAAACTCAAGGTCGAAAAAAATAATGATTCCTACACTTTCCTTTTATCTGTATACAGATAGAAAAGTAAAAAATGAAGAGTTTGAGGATTTTCTAATAGACTCAATTATTAGATTTTGAACAAATTGATATGGGACCACCCCTGAAGTATCCCCTTTCTAACAAAAAGGAATTATTTAAATGGGACGCCTTGTTAAAGAATGATCGATGAACATACATAAAAAAAAAATATAACGACGAATTGAGAATCTCATCCTTTTTTAAAGTAGGTTAAAAACATATCTCATTAAATATTTATTAATTAAAAATAATTATAAAAATAAATGATTATAATTCTAAATTTAATTTAATGACAATTCACTCAAGTAATTGATAATGTAATTTCTATCATAATTTTGCACTACTATTTTTATGCGCAGGTTAGGTTGCACATATTTATTTTTGGATGATTCTGGTCGTCGATATCCGGCTTGGAAACGAACATATTAATATTTTGTAAATAATTTAGATTACAATTTTGTTGTTAACTATATATAGAGTAATGTGTTTTGCCTGGCAAATAAACATGCATATTTTTAAAAATAATAACCCTGTATTGTATTTTATTTTAGTTTTAAATATTACGGAGTTGCCAACCAATTATTATTTTTTTTTTTTTGAAATTAGAGAATGGAGTACCCTATGTGCTGTATTACCAATTAATAAATACAGGGTATTCTATTTTAAAAATTGAGAAAATCGTTACTTCTAATTTTGGCACACCCTATATACAATATAGCAAATGAATGAAGTCAATTAAAATTGTTTGACGATGTGAAAATAATCAAATATGTGCAACTTCTTGCAGAGTGTTCTGTTTTAAAAAAATATAGGTTTGGTCAGCACCTCGTTTATGGATCACCCTGAATATACAACTTTTATATTCAATTTTATTTCGTATTTCCAATAATAAAATCGCTATCGATCAAATACGCACTGATGGGACGCCCTGTATATGTGTTATTGGATAACATGTTGGCATCGTTAGATAAGAGACTATGGGGGTTATGATTGACAACCTGTGTTATTTTTAACAGGTCTGTTATTTTATAAACACAGAAATTACAACTTGTTCACAAATACGTGTCTGTTAAAAAAAACATTACTTGTCGATCATAACCCCGTATATAAGGAATTTTATACCAAAATAATATACAGGGCGATGCATTTGAAAAAATTGAGTAAATTGAACTTAAAATTAGCCATATTTATGACATGTTTCAAAACACTCTGTATAAAATAAACCAGTTTTATCATCCTTATTTGTTAGATTAGTGCCTTATAAGTCTGTAATTTCAAACAATTTTGAAATCAATGTAAATCTACCCAAATTATGATAATTTAATTTTGAGGCTACATCATTCTCTAATTTCATAAAAAATTAATTTCTTGGCAACACAAAAATATTTTTTAAAAACATTCCAGGGTTAAATACAGTGTTACCAAACAATTAATGTACATTTTTATTTGCCAGTCAAAAACGCAACAACCTGTATATCCAAAAATATTTTTAAAATATGTATTTTTCAAATCCATATTACTTTTATTTGAAACTTGTCTACGTGTCTATAACGCTAATCGAAATATTTAACAATACCCTGTATAAATTCAACATAAAATTATATACTTGTTTTGACGATTTAAAATTAAATTAATTTTGTCGGGAGCAAATGTCGAGTGGCGCTTTTGTCGGGAAGCGCATTTGTAGGGGCGCTTTTGTCGGGGCGCATTTGACGGGCCATCAGTCTTACTACAGTCCACACCTGCTTCCAGCTGACAGGACGAAGATTATAAGAAAAAGAAATCAACGTCATCCTGAAAACAATGACTTTAATAGTAAACGGCGCCATATATAATAAATATTCTTTTTATTTTAGTTCTATCATCGCTATGGACCCAAACCTTTTCAAGAAGCGACTTCTCTACTACTTCGCCGCTATACCAGTCATTTCAGTGGTAAACAACGTATTAAAATACTCCATAGGAGCTTTAAAAATCCAATTAAGAACAAACATGACTCGACATCTCTACGAACAATATTTAAAAAATTACACTTATTATAGGATAACCAATCTCGATAACAGGATATCGAATGCAGATCAACTTTTGACAACTGACATTGATAAGTTCTGTGAGGGCATCACAGATTTGTATTGTAACACTGCTAAACCGTTGTTAGATATCGGTATTTATGTATATAAGTTGTCAACTACAATGGGAGGCGGTACGCCTGGACTCATGTTGGGTTATTTGTTGGTGTCTGGAGTAATATTGACAAATTTGCGGAAACCAACTGCTAGGTAAGATGTGTAATAAGTATTTAGTAAATTATTAATTAATTTCCTATTTAATTCCAGGCTAACTGCTGGTGAACAAAAACTCGAAGGGGAATTTAGACATATTAATTCAAGGCTCATTACCCATTCTGAAGAAGTAGCCTTTTACAATGGCAATGTAAGAGAAAAAGCAACGCTAATGGCAAGTTACAACAAACTTTTGAACCATTTGAGAAAATTCTTGAGGTTCAGAGTTCTTATGGGCATTGTAGATAATATTGTGGCAAAATATTTTGCTGGTGTGATAGGATTTTGGGCTGTGTCTTTACCGTTTATGACTCAAGGTCATAAATTTTCGCATTTAGATACAAACGAGAGGTAATTTTTATTTAAATACCGTACAAGTGTTTACTAAATCGTTCCATATTTACAGATCGAGGGTGTACTACACTTACGGTAGAATGTTAGTAAAATTGGCAGAAGCTATAGGACGTTTAGTATTAGCTGGAAGGGATCTGACACGTCTAGCTGGGTTCACAGCTAGGGTAACTCAATTAAAATCAGTATTACAAGAATTAAATGAAGGAAAGTACCAACGTACTATGGTCGCCGGTGCAGAAAGTCTCCAACCCAACGGAGGCAAATTAATATTTAGGAATAACGTTATCAAATTTAATAAAGTTCCATTGATTACGCCCAACGGTGATGTTTTGATCAATGAAATTTCATTCGAGATCAATTCAGGAATGAACGTTTTGGTTTGTGGACCGAACGGAGCTGGAAAATCTTCATTGTTTAGAATTTTAGGTGAGTATAGGTAATTTATGTCAACATTTATTGTACACGGTGTTTTAGAGTGAAATGTACATACGTTTAATATCGCCCATTATTAATAGTTTAGACGCTAGGTAACATCCTGTGTTTTTGAGAGTTCCCCGGTTTATTTTTGTGGCATTATGATGTCCAAGGTGTATATATTAAAGATCTTTTGGTTACCAGGCCCAAAAATTGCCAGTTTAGTTTTTATACAAGGTGGTGATATGGTTAGGACTATACACATGACATTAGAGGGTTCCACATACACTTGTGTTTTTATCTACTTAATATATCAGTTTTTTTTTATTTTGTCACTGTTTAATAAAGCTCAGAATATATCTGTATAATGGTTGTTGTTTATATTATATAGGGTCGTCCAAAATATCAGCATGCAACAAAAAGTTAGAGGTAGAAAAATGCGAATATATTTCAAATCTCTTAAAACAAGCTCTACGGTTGGAGGAAAAAGATTTTTTACACGCTTGGACACCAGGTAACCGTTTTCGTTATTGTAACCAAATTGGAGGGAATCGAGAAGATTTGGTGTGTTCTCTCCAAACAGTGATTTTGAATATATACAATACAAAAAGCTCTTAGAATATAGAATCTTATGTTTGAAGTTGTTTGTGGCAATTTTTCTAAAGAAACACACTTTTGGTGATGATACATTCAATACGTCGGCTCTTTAAACGTTTTGCATGAAGTGTTTTTCGTAATACTTTACCAAATATTCCTCTGCATCTCCAACAGACTTTTCAATTTCGGTATTCGACAAACCTAAAAAAGTTAAATATACTAAATAAGTTACTATACAGAGTATATTTTAAATAAGCGAATTTTTTTTATGTTATACCTTGTGCAAAACTTGACAGATGTTTTTGTGGTTTCGGCATGAAGGGCAGCACGTTTGGTCCTAACTTTGCTGGTATAATCTGCCCCCGTTAAGTGATAAAGTGCAGGAAGTACCGAACAAGTTTCCGTTCCTTATCAAACAGCCATAACATGTAATGGAACATCTCGTTTTGTAACTCCTGCTTTTATCCAAAGTTCCTATACCACTCGTTAAGTGCTTACCTTTATTCCTGTTGCTTTAAATGTTCTAAAATGATATAATGCCATAATTATGATATCAGTATCTGAGGACAAAATACATATGTTTTCATGTCTATATCGAACTGCCTAAGTATGTGGATCATTATTCTCATGTCGGCTTCTTCTATATCGTTTTTTTGCAATTCATTTAATGACTCAGAAGACGGTGATGTTGACTGGAAAGATTTTTTCTACATATAAGGCCAGAATTGAGAACCATTTTTTGAAATGAATTGTCGAAGAAATGATTCAAGCAAAATTTTATTTTCTGTAGAGCCCCAAATTTTCTTTTCTTGGACAGGCAAAGGAACATCCTCTTTGATTTCATGCACACAAATGTAAACTTCTAAACTTGCGATATGCGTTTAGCAATAACCTCAAACCTCTTCTATACAGTCAACTTTATTAATACAATTTCCATGCAACTCATAAGTATGATTAATTTTAGGGGATTAATTATTATTCCATGCAAAAATCAGTATTCGTTCAAACTATCTAAATTTTTCTGTAGTACAAGACAATCAGATGGATCTTTAACGATATTATACAATTTGATATCATCAGCATACATTAAAACTTCAATATCATTTAATTGTTTCACTACATCATTAATGTAAATGTTAAATAACAATGCACCCAAATGTGATCCCTGAGGGACCCCTGACATTGCTGAATATTCACTAGAAATGGCAATTTGAATTTCTACACAAAAAACAAGGTCTGTAAAATAGAAATTAGCCAATTCAAAGCCTTTTCATAAATTTCTAGAGCAAGAATTTACACTTTAAAATATTGTGGTCAACTCGATCAAAAGCCTTTGTTAAATCCGTATACTCGGTAAAGAGCACCAAATCAAACATATTTTACCTTTTAGTTCTGAAATTAGCTACAGTGTGTTATACATGTTATATTTATTGTCCTTCTACAGTTCCATTCTTCGTTAATTTTCAGGAGAACTTTGGCCTCTATTCGGTGGCGAACTAACCAAACCGCCCCGCGGAAAGCTCTTCTACATCCCCCAGAGGCCTTACATGACTTTGGGTAGTCTCAAAGATCAATTGACTTATCCGCATTCTGGATCAGAGGCTACAAGAAGAGGAGTTACGGATGATAAGTTGGAGGAGTATCTAAAAAGAGTGCAATTAGGGTACATTTTGGAAAGAGACGGTGGTTTGGATGCTGTAGCGGATTGGTTAGATGTCTTGAGTGGTGGAGAGAAACAGCGAATTGCTATGGCGAGGTAAGAATTTTTAATTTTTAAAATATCGTTGTAATGGGAACTTTATGGGGAATTTTATGAATTAATAGTTTAATAATAATCTAAAAACTACAATTATAATAATCATTACTTCGATTCTAACACCCTCTTATTGAAAAACATTTCTGTTTAAATATTAGACCTTCAATATTCTGAAAATTAAAATTCATTCATGTTGCGGGACCTCGCTCTATTCGTCCCGCAAAAATTCACTCGTTACGTAAAATAAGACACTTCACAACTGGTTTCATAAATAGCTATTATTTACTGTCAAGATTAAACAAAAAATCCACTTACATGGATTCCACTGGCTTGAATAAATTAATTTAAGAGAACCAGAGATTCCACCGCGTATCTTAAATTTTTTTTATTCTAGGTTATTCTACCATCAACCTCAGTTTGCAATATTGGACGAATGCACCAGCGCAGTATCCGTAGACGTAGAGGGCAGTATGTACAGATATTGCAGGGAAGTGGGTATCACATTACTGACGGTATCTCACAGGAAATCTTTGTGGCAACATCACGAATACGTTTTAAAGTTAGACGGCAGGGGCACTTATAGTTTTGAACCTATTGCAAATTGTGATGAGCAATTCGGTTCATAATGACAAAGTTATAGGAAATGTTAGATTTTTTTTTGTAGTTTTATATGAAAGAAAAATAAGAGAAGGCAGTTTGAAATAGTATTTACTGGAGTGTGTTTAAGAGTTATTTTACTACGTTATTGATAATCATTTAAATGTCTATAATTTTCTGAGGAAACTTTTATTTATCTATTTAGTTAGGCATTTATAAGCAAACTGGTATTAAAATACTATTGTTTATTATTCGCGCTCATAAGCAGCCAGTTACAAATTGTTACACAATGTTACCAGATATAATCAGTTTTGAGTTTTTATGTTTGTCACCTTGGCAATAAAATGTTGCATATTACTTGCATACAACTCGATCACCATGCTAACATCAACTCGTTGCAAGATTAGTTTAATCTGCATTCGATCGCCTAGGATTTGTTTTCAATACTAAAGATTCAAATCACTAGGAAAATAGAAATATAAACAAACCTATAGACTATGACTTATTGGGAAGCATGATGTTCTAAATATTTCATATGTGCGGGTTACTGATAAAGCAGATGGAGGTAAAGAAAACAACGTGCTTCCAGTTTGAATATTCTGCATGAACTGAACTTTATTTCTCTTTGGCAATTGACAGTTTATAATTAGAGGAGGACAATACAGAGTAGCGGTAACTGTTACATATTATTTTGATAATATTTAACACTCCCACTTATCAAAAAAATATTAACGTTACAAATTCACAATTCCTAAAACGTTCATAAATTTACAATGTTTAGCTGAGCATAAACTTTTCGTTAAATAAATATTTAATTTCTATAAACTTATTTTGACTAACTTCCCTTACAAAATGATGTCGCACATCAATGTGTTTTGTTCTCTTATGCATCACTGGGTTTTAGGCCAATTTTTGAGTACTTTGATTATCATTATATAAAGTGATACAACATAAATTACCTGTTAACTCAAAAAATAAATTTCTAAAATAAGTTGCCTCTTTTGAAGCCTTAGTAAGTGCCATATATTCAGCATCTGTGCTACTTAATCCCACAGTTTGTTTTTTGCTCTCCCAAGAAATTGCAGAATTAGACAATTTAAAACAATATCCTGTATATGATTTACGGTCTACCACATTACCGCCCCAATCAGCATCTACAAAACCCTCCAGCTCTGCATTTTCTTTAACAAATTTCGAACCATAATTATTACTTGCTTTTAAATACCTAAGCAATTTTTTTAAACAATTCCAATGTTCTTCAGAGTAACAATTATTGAATCGTCTTAAATAACTCACTTGATAAGCAATATCAGGTCTAGTTAAAACTGCTAAATTCATTAAACTGCCAATTAACTGTTGATAGGGTACATCAATTTTAATCTGATCTGCTTTAGTCAGTTTTAAATTAGTTTCCATTGGTGTCGCTACCCCTTTACAATCTAACATATTAAATTTTTTTAATAACTGATCTATGTAATGCTTCTGATCCAAAGTTATAGCATTTTTAGATTTATCCATAGTCACCCTCATTCCCAAACATTGCTTAACTTGACCTAAATCCTTTATTTTAAATTTAAAACTTAACTCATGTTTTAAATGATTCATTTCACTAAAATTATTGGAAAAAATAAAGAAATCATCTACATATGTCAAAAGGCTGTCTATGGTTTTCATATATAAATGTAATGAAATTCCTAATCCGACCCTGTGCCTAAAGCAAGCGCGGCCTTCAGAAGGCAACCAACTCGTGCTCGAGGCGACGGAATGTTCTGGGAATGCCGCTGCGGCTCGATAAACGGGTAGAACGGGCGAAGTGTGCCGTTGAGTCAGAGATAGAATTTTCGAGACGACCGTCTGGAGACTTCTAGTAGGAGTTGGACTTAATATAAATAGCCGACTCGTCGGCGGACAGTTGAGTTTAATATAGAACATTGTATTGAAAAGTGTAAGAAGTAAATTAGAATTTAGTTAGTGTATTATATAAATTAAATAGTACGTCTGAAATAAATTGTAAATAGTGTGTTTTTAAATAAATAAATTAGACTATCGTCACATTATTAAAGGCGGAGTGAGAAATATAATGTAAAAGCATTAGTAATATTTTATTTTAATAGAAAATCATACATAACACTTTAAATATGGGAAATTTTACGATGTAATTACGAGATAAATTTATTGATCTTGTATCATTTACACGACATAAAACAAGTTACAAACATAGTGTGCACATAAGGTACAATGAGTTGATAAATAATAAGAATAAGCTAAAAATTATCTTAATAAAAACTTTAAATAGTTAACAAACATTTAGTACAGAATAAAATTACAAAATAATATAAAATGACAGAATAAAATTAAGAGTACAATAAATTATTGTTTAAATTAAGTGTTACTGTTCCAACCAATAAATTAGTTTAGAGAATAAAAATAATTTTAAACTATAGAGACGTCAAAATGCATCTTTTTTGGCTAACCCGGCAAAATGACTAGAAATAGCTAGCCAGTAAAATAATCGCATTAATTTGCCGCCAGATGGTGCTCCACAGTTCCTTTCATAATTTATTATTAAATTAGTTTTGTTTCATTGTTTATGAAGAATAGAAACTTGTTTGTTCTGCTACAGGTTATGTGTTTAGTGATATCATCAGGCGTGGATCTGCGAAGATTTTTCGGGGGGGGGGGGGGAGGGGTAGATAATTTTATCAAAGAATCATTCGTTTATTTAAAAAAAATAACAAAAATACTGTACGCCAGCCTGTGCTTCTCTATTCTTCATTCGTCACAGTCATCTTGTCTTTTTTTGCTTTCTCGTAAAATCTCCTTGTTTTTAGATTACAATTTAATAAATTCCTGAATTTGTTCGAGCAGCTCGGGGGGGGGGGGGGTAATTACCCTATTACACCCCTCCCTGTATCCGCGCCTGAGTGATATTTATTTATGATTGAAGTAGAGTAGACAAGTTGTAGTTATTTTTCAAAATAAATTTTAAAGATAGGTCACATGCTGTAATAGTCATTACACATAATGTTGTCTATGTTGCCGTTAAGTAGTTAATATATAAATAATTTCTGGCAGTCTGGTGTCATTTTCTAAAACATTTGTCATTTTTGTGGTTGGTACCAATGCAGACTTGCTTATTTAAATTCCAATTTCTTTTGAAGAAGCAATAATCATTTCATTTTAGTGTAGGGTAAAGTTTTCTGTCGGTTTCGAATAAAAAATAGTTTGTAAACCACGACAGTAAAGTGGTTTTCAAGGCCTCGCAGTGTCCAAGCTCGGCTTCGCTTCGCCTGTCCATATTTTTACTCGGCCTGGAAAAGTTCACTTTACTGCCTAGGTATACAATAGACTATTTTCTCGTTACAACTATTATAGTTGTATAGTGTTTATTAGGAAAGTACGCAATTGATTTTGAAGTGTGACAGCAGTGTGAAGCAAGCGTAGTAGATGTAAATACTGACTAATTCACAAAAAGCATGCTCGCTCATCAGATAAACATACTCGCACAAACTATCCCCACACCAATTAACAGCTGTCTCCTTCTTTCTAATGCGGCAGCCTATGTGACAGCTCTGTCTGCTTAATAATAAACAAACACATTCTGAAAGATGGCAATAAAGAAGGGCTTAATTATGAATGAATGAATTAGTCTAGTAATTAGATTAAAAAGTGGTTTGATAAAAAAATGTATTATAGAATTACTGATATTGTTTTTGGTAACTCTCTTGTAGTAGTATGCAGCAGACTGCGGTTTTTTTTAAACAAAAATTAAAATAAAATTTTTCTTTTTGTGGGTCGATTCTACTTATTGTAATCGTCATTTTGCAGGTGACAGTCAACAGTTTTCCTCACTTTCGGTATCACTCAAAATACATTGAGACACTCCAGTAATTACTAAATCAGCCAAAATATGAGGCCGCAATTTTAAAAATCATAAAATTTAAGTATGACTTTTAATTAATTTTTTTTAAGCATTTTTATGCATACATCACTTTTATTACATCACAGTTGTTATTAATAGGTTTTCATTAATTCTAATAAAAATAAAATTATTTCAATTACCCACAATGTTTGAGTGGCAAAAAACTTTAATTCTTAAGTAAATTTATGTTACGTTTACATGTATATATTGTTAAATATTTATAAAAAAAAAAACTTAATATAGTAAGATCAAAAACGATTTTAAATGCAAATGTATTTATTTTAACTTTTCCACATGGTTGTAGAAATTAGTATTTTTCATATTTATTACAAAGGCAGTTTTTCTGATTGAGGACAAATTCCACAGTAACTTTTGAATTGACAATTGAAAGTATATTTAGTTTTTTTTAAATTAAATATATTTTACTTTCTTTTTTATGTAGCTACAATTCTATATAATTTTTACGAAAAAATGTATATACAGGGTGTTTAATTTGGAAACGGACATAATTTATTTTTCTTATACATGTATGAGTGTATAATCAAAATATTTGTGAATAGTGCATAATTTGGAATTCCATCAATTAAATAAAATCACAATTCATCTCTTTTAATATTTATATTATTAAATTTCCCATTTTATTTTCATCCATTCAAAGTGTTTGGAACAATTTTCTGCAAATAGATTAAATTAGTTATAACGTATTTATATATTTTTTCCTGATACTATATTCATGCGACCTTGTAGACAATTTATTTAAAACAAAAACTCAAAAATAATAAAGATACATAAGTTAAAAAAAAAACAATTTAGAGCCTGTGCATCAACCTGTAGTTTTTAGACATTTCTTTCTCAAATAGGTGGATCGATCAAAATGGCACTAGTTGTGTAGCCACCGGAGATCACCAGATTTAAATCCTCGTGATTTTTCTTGAATGAAAGGCGATGGATAACTTACACAATATTTAAGTTAGACAAGACCGCATCAGATGGAGTTTGTAGTAGATTATTGATTCTTTTTTTTTTTTTTTTTTAATTTGGTGTCATCGGCGTCGACTACTACGGCCATTAGCATCGTGTTCTGTGTAGGCTTTGTTACTGTTTCCCAGCGCCACTTTAGGAACAGCACTGTTAATTAGAACCCAACAGTGAATGGTCGAGTGGGGAATCCTACCAAGGCATCAGAATTAATTTTAAATAATTAAATTAAATAAAAAAATCCCGGCCAACGGTGGGATTCGAACCTGAGACCTTCCGATCTCAAAGTCATGACTCTAACCACTGAGCCAACCCATTCTTATTTTTAAGATTGTTATTTGAAAATGTTTATATATAATTAAAACAGAAATATCAACTCAGATATCACCCTGTATACAAATACCTTTTTATTTCGCTTTTTGTCTTTTTAATTTTTACCAATCATAATTAAAGTAAATTTACAACAAAATTTGAGATTAACGAATATTTTTTAGATCTTCCAATATAGTGTGTCCTTAATAGCGCATTCACAGTTAACTTATATTCGTTTTGAAACACCCTGTATATTGACATTGGATAATAAAATTCAAATTACATATACAAGTTGTCAATATTTATCGAAAGTTAAGTGATTTGTGACTTATTTTTCTCTATAATTTTCTTAACAAACTGCCACATGACATTTTTTCTAATATGGTAATAAAATTGGGGAATCTCAATTTTTCATACAAATATTCTTGCCTATGTTCTCTAACAAATTCAAGTTTTTTTTATCTTTGAATTCCGTTTTGGCTTTAACAAATTCGAACGAATCTATAGAAAAAACTTAATTATGAAATATTTTAGTCAAATTTTTAAAATATATATATATATATATTTTGTTGCCTTATTTTTAAGTAAATTGTACTTTATGTATATGTAAAGTAGGTTTTTGGAATAAACGTATATTTTTGTAATACTATAAATAATTCTTTTTATGTCCATGAAAACCTGATAAACCAATTTATATATAGTATGAGTCACTTTTCTTAACAAAAAATAATCAAAGTAATTCAGCATTACAACTTTCAAACTTCAGATTTTTTATTCTGGAAAATTCTTGAAATCTGAATACCATGGCAGAGCTAGGGCCCCTACTATTATTTAATACCTTGGGCTTGCGGGCACCTTAATTCTGTACTGCGTCGACCCAGTAATATATTGTCCAGCTTCCTATAAATACGTGTTCCATTTATAGTTAACTTTTAACAAAAACAAACCATTCTCTTAGAGAAATTTGTTACGTGGTTTGTGTGGTAATTAAATAATCAGACTGGTTCTGCTACCGGTAATAAACAGCTAGGGTGTCGCAACATATTTGAAGATGCCTGTGCTTGTTCAAAAATAACAAGCATTTTTTAACAGATACTTCAGTTACTCTATGATCCACCCTATATAAATAATTTAAAGTAAACATAAGAACAACATCTTTTATTATTCAATCTGTATATTGCAATCTAACACAAATTAAAACCAACCCTGGCAGCAGCAAAAAATGCAGCGTAACGGATTATGAGTTCCAAGAAAAACATACTTTGCACACCTGCAACATATTTACTACTATTTTCACGTGCAGAATATAGTCTTCTCACTAATGGAAAATTTTCAGTAATTTAAATATAAATGCCAACTCTCTCCCACTCCTAAATTGATCTCAGCCTCTCTAATATGGACATACTGTAACGGCCCACCCCCGGTATCCCATTTTAATCATTGTTTTACTCTCTGAAATGTTATTATTTACCTCACAAGTTTATTTTAGTTTATACTTACTGTATTTGGCCTTTTTCCTCTAGCAGTAAAAATGATTATCTAGTTAATTAGTTCGAGATGTAGATAGGTAGGGTAGTAGGGCGTCTGGACGTTGAGCGTCGAGACGTTGAACGTCGGGATTAATATAATGTAGGAAATACTAAAGTGGTGTTAGAAGTGATAGCGTAGAAAGGTAGGGAAGTGGGACGTTGGGCGTCGAAACGTTGACACCTTCGGGGAGAGGAGGTATTTCAGGATAAACGTCATTTAGGAAAAGCGTTTTAAGAAAGGTACAGACCATATAACTGGATACAAATAATAAAGTGATTGCTTTGCGTTGAAAGGAATTAAAAAAAAACCTGCTTTTTTTTAATATTTCCTCCATCTTTTGCTATTCTAATACAAAATCTAAATTTTGAATGCATTCACACGCATTCATTAAAAATATTTCCTGCAATTTTTAAATACCTTCTAATATCTCCTCGCTCTTCTGCTATTCGTTTCAGGAATAAACAAAGAAGGTGTCAGTCAGATTTGGCAAGAATCATTCAAAGTGCACAAAGTTTGCGCGAAAATTGTACCAAAACGTCTCACTCCAGAGCAAAAGGAATTGAAAATGATTCCTTGGGCTGAAATTTTAAAAAACACTAGTAATGATTTAAAATTGTTAGACAGAGTGATTACTTGCAATCGATGCATTGAAAGAGCTGAAACTCACAACTGCAAAAAAACGAAAATGAATAAAATTTAAGATCATGATGCTTTTTTTTTAAATCATGAAATTGTCTCCTTTTATTCCCAGACAGCACAAATATCATGGGCGAAGTTAAGGGGGGGCTTGGGGGGGCTAAGCCCCCCCAAAAACCAAATTAGCCCCCCCAAAAATAATTCGAACATTTATCGCACATCCACCCAAACATTTCAGATTTCAGAACAGAAATTAAAAAATAAAAAGAATCGTGCCATTTGATTGATTCTGCAATTTTACATTTAGTTCAGGAGGCAGTGAATTTTTTTCGTATTCATTTTTGCAGTCGGCGTATATGAAAAATAAACTGTTCTCTTAGTGACAAAAAACAAAATTTTTGAGTCTGACACTTATTTTCCCAGTCATAACTATTTTACATTTACTAAACTAGAACATAAAGCTTATAAAAATAGCAGTTTGGATTATCTCAGATAGTGGAAAGTGAGTGTGGCAGAAAATTGAGCATATAAATTGATACAATCATGAACTGTTTATTATAGGGACCGTGCGTCATGACTTTAACGCTAACTGGTGACAAAAATGTGAACTTTTTGGGGGGTATTTATTAATGTTTTATACGGCATTTATTGTTTAATAATTATTAATAAAATGAAGTCGAATTATTATCGTAATATCAATATCGAAAAAACCTGTTGCATCCGTGGATGTACAAACACATCACTTTAGAAACCTGGATTTCATTCGATAGTAAAGAAATTTTATAAATTTCCACAGAGCACAATTATGCCTCACACCCAATGATATACATAATTACAAAGATTGCTTATCCATATGTAAATCAGACGACGAAAAGCGTATTTCACTGGGCAAAGTTTTCTTTTTATCTAGCTTGTATCAATTTTGAGCACTTAGTTGTAAAGAAATCATTTACAGAAAAATTAGAATCTTTAGTGTTTTCTTGTCATTAAGATTTTTACATATTTAAATATTTTTATTTATTTAAATGACCATTTTATATAAATATAATTTTACAGATAATGGTTTATTCTGTTGATTAAAACTAATGTAGAATGTTATGAAATAAGAATATCCAATTTGACAAAAATATCACGGCCCTCTTTACAATTTATTAACTATTTCTCATTTATTATTAAAATAAACAAATCATAAATAATACATTGCAATTACTGTCAAAAGAGATTGTAACAAACTTTAAAATATTAAAAATCCAGTGATTTTTTGTAATTTTTTTTAGTGACATTACCATTAAACATTATTCAGAATAATAGATAAGTGTCCAATTACAACTCTTACCAAAGTTGTTCATACCTCATATCAAAATTGTTTACATTACCTTTTCAAAATTGTATTACATATTGCAATTATGTATTTTATGTAGAATTGTTTCTGAAATAGTAGTTTAAAATTATTTATATCCATCTGTTATAAAAATTGTTTAGATCTCTTAATATTATTTAACTACATGAAAACTCAACTTTCCAAATACATAATGACATGTCTTGAAGTAAAACTTTAATTATTATCTTTTTCTAAAGATTAAAATGCTGAAATTTTATTTTAACACATTTGGGCTAGAACGGCTCTATTTAGTGAGCACTAGGAAAGGCACATTGCAACCAGCTTTTCATAATTTTTTTATAGTTGGGTGAGCAATCTATAATATATGTATCATTGAACATCTCATAAACGCCAGTGGATGAATGACATTTCGATTAACATAAAGCTAAAAAGATTTATAATTATTATTATCAATCTTTTTTATTAATTTACATTTTTTAAATGTTATTGTAATACTTTTAAATTCAGTGTTACTAAATACCATAGAAATAGTATAGAAAGCCGATTCCATATATCAAAAATGAAACCATAAGGAGAAAATAGTGTGTCGGAGCTCATGCGTATAACGGTGCTGGCGCGAACAGGACCGGTGCAAGTTTTTTATTGATCGAACAAATAGTTCGCACGATATTTCAATCATACATTTTTAGAGATGATTCTATACAAAAAACGATTAAAAAAATTTCAAGTTAAGGTAAATATGGTTCTGACAGTCCTTATTAAGAAAGATATGGCATAAAATATGAATTAGTTAATTTTCGGCAATCATTAGTACAGTAGTCATGAGATTTTGCTTGTGATTTTAAAAATACTTTCCAGAAAAACCACGTGCTCCGGTTTTGACTACGTTTATTATTAAACAGCGAAATTATATACAAAAACTTTAATCCACAATCTAAATTAGGTACTATCACAAGAAAATCACTGTTACAATAATTAATTACTTAACCAAAAACTAAAATACTTTTTAGGTACCTACGTAACCAGAAAGGAGCTGGACCATTTATCCTAATATTGATTTTCTCTCTCCCTACGGTAAAACTTAAAACAATAACAAATTGCCTATCTACTAGGGTCGGTAACTAAACGTATATACATAATGGGCGGATTTTGTTTATACTTAACATTACACTCGCGCATTTAAATATAACTATGCATATAAATATTTACAAACAAAGATACTTTTCCAAACAGGCAATCATTAGTACTGTAGTCACGAGATTTTGCTTGTGATTTGACATCTTATTTGATAATATCATTTGCTACAACTAAATTTAATCTGGGGAGTGCAAAATAGGGCCCAGGAATATTATGTTCGATATTTTTTTACATTTTGTCAGCCGAGATTATGAGTCGTTAGACAGAAAACCTTTCATGTTACCATTTTCAATATAAATTAAAAAATTAAAAAATACTACTACATTTACTTGGTACATATTTTATTTTAATTTTGAACCCTTTTAAAAGGGTCTTTCGGTTCCATAATAAAAATTAATTGCTGCTTACTAGAAACATTCTATATAGCCTAAACCAATTTATAGTTTGTTTTCGATCAATTTAACACAAAGATTTAAAGTTTTTAGTCGATGATAACATTCCACACCAGCACATTGCAAACCTATTTTATAAATAATAGGAATAAACTTGTAAATCATTAATTTGGTAGTTATCTCACTCATATGATTTTTTTGTTTATATGAATATTTCGATTTCTAAATATATTTTGGCCTTACAATACGAAGCGTTTTGTATCTACCACTTTTTTAATGAACGATGAATGTTGACAGGCGTGTACCTTTTTCGGAACAAGAGGCGTTTTAACGAAGGAAATGATTTTCAAGCTATCTAGTTAGTTTTCGGAAAAATAAAAAACGTTTGAAGAAAGTTGTAAAT